GAGGAGGAGGAGGAGGAGGAAGAGGAAGAGGAGGAGGAGGAGGAGGAGGAGAAGGACAGGAGGCCAACGTTGGAGCGATAGCGTGTCCGTGCGCCCCGCGACCCGGCGACCCGGCACCCAGCGACCCGGCCCGGCGACCCGGCGACCCAGCGACCCGGCGACCCGGCACCCGGCGCCCGGCACCCGGCGACCCGGCACCCGGCGACCCGGCGACCCGGCACCCGGCACCCGGCGACCCGGCACCCGGCACCCGGCTCCCGGCGACCCGGCGACCGGCACCCGGCACCCAGCCGACGGCACCACGGCACCCGGCTCCCGGCGACCCGGCGACCCGGCGGCGACAAGGCACCGGCGACGGCACTGGCACCCGGACATCCGGCACCCGGCGACCCGGCGGACCTGGGGACCGGAACTCGGACCCAGAACCCGGCACCCGGCACCCGTCACCCGGCACCCAGCGACCCGGCGACCCGGCGACCCAGCACCCCGGCACCCCGGCACCCAGCACCCAGCATCGGGCGACCCGGCGACCCGGCGACCCGCGGCACCTGGCACCCGGCACCCGGCACCCGGCACCCGGCGACCCGGCGACCCGGCGACCCGGCACCCGGCACCCGGCACCCGGCACCCGGCGACCTGGCGACCCGGCACCCGGCACCCGGCACCGTGCACCTGGCACCCGGCACCCGGCGACTCCCGGCCGGCCCCCCGTCCTTGTCAGGACCGACCTCATATATATATATATATATATATATATATATATGTATACATATATATATATATACACACACACTCAGCTTGGCGAGGGAGCCTGTCTAACAGAGGGGGGCTGTGTAACAGAGGAGCGCGTCTAGCACCACTGATCTGTTCTTAATCAGCTTGGCGGGGAACCCTGTTTAGCAGAGAGGGCCTGTGTAGCAGAGGCCGCAAGCCTAGCACAGGAGCGCATCTAGCACCACTGAGTTCTATATGATCAGCTTGGCGAGGGAGCCCATCTAACAGAGAGCGCAGGGCTAGCAAATGAGCGCGTCTAGCACCACTGAGATGTTTTAATTAACTTGGCGAGGGAGCCTGTCTAACAGAGGGGGCTTGTGCAACCAGCACCACTGAGGTTGGTTTGATCAGCGTGGCGAGGGAGCCTGGCGACCACAGTGGCAGACCACCAGACCGCCAAACCACCAGACCACCAAACCACTAGACCACCAGACCACCAGACCACCAGACCACCAGAACACCACCAGACCGCCAGACCGCCAGACCACCAGACCACCAGACCGTCAGACCACCAGACCGCCAGACCACTGCGCGTTCCAGAACGCCCCAGAGCAGTCCCCTCGCCATCGCTCGGACGTCCATTCCCTGTGTTTTTTTCGGTTTCGTGCGTGGTTTTTCTGCCAAATGATCAAGGATGCTCCTCGATGGTCCTCGCCGAAGGAAAAATGCACACGTCCGAGCGATGCCAAGGTCCCCAGGAGAATCTGTTGCTGTCGCTTGGCCTGGCGGCTCTTCCGCGGAGGCCACCTCGCGCACATGTTCGCCTCGATGCGGGCTGCGTTCCTGGCCCGGACGGCCACGCTCCCCTGCAAACGGTACATCGAGGTGCGCGTGGCCGTGCCCCCACTCCTGCCTTCTGTACTACAGCCGACCTTCTACAGTCGGGGCGTTGACCGAAGGAACGATAAACAAGGAACGAGGCCACTTTTTTCCATTGGTGAAACTCCGATTATTCATGGAATACCGCAGGAAAACCCAGGGACCGCTGTAAAACCACTAAGGAACACGGAGCCCCTCCCAAACGAAAAGGATTTCCTTCTTCAGCGGCCCGACTGTCTACTATAGCCGACCTCCTACTCCTCGACCCGCCTCCTCACCTTTGCTGCTGTCAGGGTGCTTTGCTGGGCCAGGGACGCCTCTGGATG